ACCTGCTCCGGAACCCCTGCGGGCAGGGTGGGTGCCGGACCGGGGGGCCCCATAAGAACGGCCATAGTGGGTCAGACCCACGGTCCATCTCCCCCAGTGTCCTGTCTTCCGACAGTGGCCAATGCCAGGTGCCACCGGGTGGGGAGAGGGCATTGGAGGAGGGGGGACCAGGTGGGAGAGCAGGAGGTGAATGGGGAGCACTGAGGGGTGTGTATATGGGGAGGGGCACTAGGGAGAGTGTGGGTTGTGTTGGGGGGGGGCAAAGGAGAGGGAGCACCAGAGTGGGGGAAGGGGGAAAAATTAGCACTGGTGGGGGAGGCGGGGATGAGAGGGCACTGGGGCAAAAAGGTACCTGGGGGACTGAGATGGGTGTCAGGAAAGGGGGGGAGTCTCCCTCCTCCCCTGCAACCCCCCCCCCCCGATATTTAGTTCTCTCTCTGTTTATTTTCGAGAGCCACATTAACCCACTCCTCCCCCTCCCCTGGAAATGGGTGCCCACACGGGCATCGTCCCCCACCCCATCAAACCAGCTCCCACCACACCTCATACCCCTTCTTGACACAGCCTCTTCCCGCAGATCAGTTCTCTCACTGGCAGGTGGAGCATGGGGGCCATGGCTGGAAGGTGGAAGGGAACCGCTGCCCGGTCGAGGGCGCCCCGGCCCAGACCTGCTTTGTCTCATCATTTCAGTGAGTCTGTCCCCTGGGCCTTCCCGTTTGCCCCCCACCTTCCTCATGGGGCAGAGAGCTACCCGTTCTCCAAAAGCCAGACCTGTCCTGATCTGGCGTGTGCCCCTATGAATCCAGAGTCGCTCTGGATCGACCCAGCATAAATGAGACTCAGAGGTGCCAGGCCTGAGTCTGCCCTGCACCTTGTACTGTCATGTCCCAAATATTTGTACACACCAGTAAATCCGGAGTGGCTCTGGATTTAGGCCAGGGCAACGCTACAGATTTCTGCCGGCACAGATCTGTCGGTCAGGCGTTGGGAAGAGAGCTGTACTAGCCAGTGTGCATTCAGTGATACAGCACGGTGCACTGTTACTAGGAGAGTTTGTGTCGCTCAGGGAGGGTGGTTTTATCTGCCAACAGGGTATCCTGGGATTCTTATACTGGCAAAGTTCTCCTACTGTGGACATGGTCTAAGGTTGTGTCTACACTGGCAAGTTTCTGCGCCACAAGTTATACCACTTTTATTAAAGCGCTGGAATTAAACCGCTGTTGTGTGTCCACACTGTGCTCCTTGTGACACTGGAGCACATCCACATTAGCAGCTCTTGCAAGGGCAAAGACAGCAGTGCATTGTGGGAGCTTCCCACTGTGCACCTGGCCAGCAGGCTGCTTGGGGAAGGGTTTGCAATCCCTCATAGGGGAGGCACAGCGTCACATGATGCAGGTTTTCCAATCCCAATGTTCCATGGGCATCCTAGGACATTGCCAGCTGCTTTTCAACTGAAGTGGGTGTGTGTCTGTGGGGGGGGGAGAGAGACAGTGTGCTCTGGGGGACAGAGAGCGTGTCAGATGCTGTCTTCTAAGTTCAGACAGTGGCAGGAAGCAACCAGTCCTGAGGCAGGGAACGGGGGAAACGCTGGGATGTCACTTGAGGCATTATGGGACCGCTCCGGAAGCCAATTACAGTGTAATAGCAATCAAGTGTGTACACTGGCAATGAGCGCTGGAGCCTCGGTCCAAACAGCCTTACGACTCGGCGAGGTGGCTTTTTTGCAGCGCTGCAACTGCGGAGTTTCTGCGCACAAAGTGGCTCGGCAGTGTGTACATGTCTGCACTTTGAGTGCAAAAAGCTGCTTCACTGCGCAGAAACTTGCCAGTGTAGACAAGCCCTAAGTAAATCTGGAGTCACTTGCAGCAGTATAATCAAGATCAGATGCAGGCCCTGACTCTGTGCTGCCCTTGTGTCATCATGACACACAAACACACACACTCTACCCAGGTGTTGGTATCGACCCAAGGTGTCTGGCAGGGGAGAACTGGGAACGGTGTCACTCCAGATTTACGAGGATTTCTCTGCACTGCTGATTTGCCCCGATTCCGGCCCCGGGCGTAGCTGCCCCGTCAAACTCCTATAAGAGATGTTATTTGCACTGCGGGAGCTGACCCCATGAGTTCAAGTCATGGCTTATGGCAGCTTTTCCTGTCTACACAGGGAGCTGTACTGGGGGAGTGCCCGGAGGCGTGAACAGCTGAGCTCTGTTCCTGGCCCTGCTGTGTGACCTTGAGCAAAAACTACTTCCTCTGTCTGTTCCTTGGTTTCCCCTCTGCGCAGCGCCCAGCACAATGTGGCCCTGATCTCAGTTAGGTGCTAGTGCAATATCTCATTAGGGTTTCCTTTCCCCCTCTGTAGGTGGTGCATCAAATCGCAGCTCGTAGATCTTCTAAAGGAGGGGTTGTGGGACGAACTGCTGGATACCTACCAACCGGAAATCTACATCTCCGATTGGTAAGTTTCACCCTCTTCTCCCTAGAGGCCTTAATGGTGACCTGCTGAAAGAAATGGGATTGTGTCTTTGCTGCTGATTTCTGATGACTAAAATAAGACCTCTGAGGTTTCCTTCATTTCTAGTTGTGGGGGCCACCTGTGCCTCAAAATCAAAGGGTTTGGGTTTGTTTGGGGGTTGTTACTTTTTTAAGCCTTAAAAATATCAAGTCTGTTGAACCTGGAGGACCCAGAGATGTGGGTTGGGAGCCCTCTTAGCCCTTAATTAAAGGTGTGAGAACGGTTGGATTTTTAACAGTGAGTTTCTCCCACCCAACTCTTGGTCAGGGGCTTGCGTCAAATGCATGTCGCAGGTCACGTCTGCTCTCGAACTTGCTGGCTAGGATTGTACTCGGGCTTCCCTGAAGTTGCTGGGCTAGACAAGACCAGCGGGTGAGGATGTTACAGTGCTTGGAGCTAAGATGCTGGTGCAATCCCCTGATTGATGGGGACCAAAAAGCCAGTGGTGCTGCGTGTGTTGGATTCGGCTGTGTGTGTTCCCAGGATTCCTCTTACGTTCTACATTCGGGGGGCTGTGTCCTGTCTCCCTCTTGCTGCCCCCCGAGGTTCCTTGTTCCCCATTGTCTGCTCCCGTCCCACAGGTGGGGTGCCCGGGAAGACTGTGGCTGTGAATACTCCATCTGCGTCAGGCTCCTGGCTGCCAACAGAAGTACTGTAATCGCTGAATTCCAAGCCAACCCCGATCCCATACAACAGTGGAACGACGCGCAGTATCACCAGGTGAGCCGGCTCCGTTGCCAGCTCTCTGGGAATATTTAGGGACTGGGAGTCAGGACACCTGGGTTCTAGAACCGACTCAGCCACTGGGTTGACTTTGGGCAAGTCACTTCCCCTCCCTGTGCCTCCGTTTCCCTGTGAAAGGGGGATAACGATACCAAGTAGGGTGACCAGATGTCCCGATTTTATAGGGACAGTCCCGATATTTGGGGCTTTGTCTTATATAGGCTCCTATTACCCCCCACCCCCGTCCCGATTTTTCACACTCGCTATCTGGTCACCCTAATACCAAGCTCTACTGTAAAGCACTTTGAGATCTACCATTGAAAAGCGGTAGGGATGAAGTGGGTGTAATTTGTAAAAGTATGTATGTTTTAACACGGAGGAGCGGGTGGCGGTGGCAGAGAAAGGAATAGAACACGGGTCTCCTGACATCCAGTCCTAGCCCACCACAGGCGGCAGAAGACATGGGCTAGTGGATGCTTAGCGCTCCCCCCCTCCCCCAAAACTATTCCTGCCTGCCTCACTCAGCAGGAAAACCAGGGCCAGGAAGGAGGCGGGAATGGCCCCACCTGTGCACGGACAGTCGTGTTACGTGACGCTCTAGCGGGCTCCTCCGAATTCTGCAAGGGCTGGAGCCGGGCCCAGACCTGGGGGATGGGAGTCACTGGCAGTGCTCCCTCTAATTTTTCCCACCCATGTGTGGAATGAATTTTGTTATGTGCAGGGTGGATTTGATTTAAATCGCATTGATTTAAATCATGATTTAAATCACTAGTCAGGAAGACTCAATTTAATCATGGATTTCTACATAAAAGTGCATTCTTGTTGGTTGGTATAATCTTAATCCATATTCTTCACAACTCAGAGATAGATGAGACCCAAACTGGGTCTCTTTTACGGCCTGCTGCCATTATAGGTTTTCCCTTGTAGTGAGAGAATGGTATGGTAGATCTCAAATCAATGAAGGCTACACTAAGAAAGACCTCAAGACTTCTGGAATATGCTGCTCAAACAGTTTCACTTTTGTTTCTACTGCCTGTCCCTCCCTTCTCACATTTATCTCCAGACTTTGGCTGGGGGTGCGGGCTCTGAGGTGGGGCCGGGGATGAGGGGCTTGGGGTGCAGGAGGGTGCTCTGGGGCTCCCCCCAGCACCACTTGGGGCTGTGGGATAGGCGCCCATCACCGGCCACGGGAGGTTCAGGCCGGGGCTGGCACACCTCTCTCCCTGGCCGAGGCAGGGCCTGGATGGGGCTGGGTTGTGGACGCCCCTCTCACGACCGCGGCAGGTCCAGGGCTGAGTTAGGGGAGGGGCACCCTGGCTGCAGCAGGTCCCGGCCGGGCGCGTTCCCTGAGCCCCTCTACAGCACTAAATAGGCTGCTGTGTGGCCATGCACCTTACAGGGAACTTAGGCCACCACTCTGGGGGGAGTGTGGGGCAGGCCTGCTCTCCGACCCCCCCCCATCTCGCTGCACAGCAGTTATTCCATTTTGCCCAGCCTCTGCCCTCCAAGAATATCTTCCCCAGTCTGTGTAGCCCCTATTTCCTCTCTCTGGAGCACACGGATTTGTGACAGGGTCCAGAGATCAATTTGGGTTCCTTTTCCTTCCCTCCCAGGTGTCCTACCGGTTCAGGCAGTACGGGCGCGGCGTCCGGTATGTGCATTTCCTCCACA